CACATGAGAACAATGGACTTCCTCTTGGTGAATGTGATCCTGTCTTGGGTATCAACGGAGATTAAATTGATTTCAATGCCCCGAGAATGTGTGATACAGTAATCCCCTAGTAGCCCACCACCTTGTTGTTCAACGTGTTCCTTTTCCTCCACCTTGTTCAACGGAGTCACCTGAGTTCTCCATCCTACGAGAAAACAACTTTCTTTACTTGGAAACCTCTTTTTTAATTTCACGAATACAGATCACTTAAAGTGGGACCCGGATGCGCCACGCTTTCGGATTTCACTTAGATCTACAACCACAAGTATTTGGATGTCTAGATGTGTATACAAAGAATCGTTGAGCCAATGACTAAGTGTTTACCCTAATGTGTGTGCTTCATATCAACAAGGGTGGCAATTAGAGGGAAAGCAAGTTTGACTGAGTGAATTAGACTAGGAATGGATACTGCCAAAGCGACATCCACTCCCTGTTTGAATACGCTTTCACAGAATTTTCAGCTCGTCCGATTGGATGAACCGAACAAAAATCATGGAAGTTTGAAATCACACCATTTGTATGTTAAATCTTAGTCCTTGAAAAAAAAATAAAAATCAACTAATTCCGCGCTGTATTCCTTTTTCATCGAGAACACTGACATGAGATTTACGCTGGAGCTCATTTTTGCTCGAAGTGCAAAAGATAAGCTGACTAGGTCATTTGCAAGGAGTACACTGCAGAAGCTGCTCAAAAAGTAAAACAAGGCCCTCCCACTCGCATTGAGGAGCAAAAGAGAATGGACGAGCTGTATAGCAGGGTGTAAACTTAGCTATCGATTCTCATATTCATAGTAGAATGTCATATTTCTGGATCACGTTTTTGCACCTTCTTTCGGCTTCCTCGAGACAAATTTACCTCTAGGGAACTCATGAAAGCAAAGGATGCTCAGCTTATACGATGGGTGAGGGGACTATGAAGATCTGGATCTTCATGGGAAATCCTACCCACAGGTCACACATGTGCCGCCGGCGCCTGTCAGTTGCTCGTGATATCCGTTGCGTTGCTCAGAGAACATGGAATTTCCAGCATGTGGGAGCAAGCGTACTACTAAACTTTGCAATTGATCGTAGTTAGCTGCTTTCGAGCATAGCGGATTCTGAAGTTCTAAATTCTCTCCCACTAGGGGCACTACAGTTTTAAACTGAAGTCCAATCTCTATTACAAACACCTTTAGGACGGCTTCTTTCCTCATCAAGGACAACGAAAACTGGGGACAGTGGAAGGCTTGTACATGTGAATGGAATAGACGATGGCGAGAATGACCATTAAGCAGGGTTGACATGCTGCGATTAGCAAACTGCGACTGAAACAGCTATTGTAATACCGATCGCCGTTGCCGCAACGCATGCGTTACGCGTGCGGTAATCGATACTGCGTGTTTGCAGAGCCACGTTAATACGGCTTAAGATGCTCATTTGTTCAAGCTATTTTTAACGTTCATTGACTGAATAGAACTGTGATCCTCGACTATATGTGTGTGTGTGGTAGTGCGCCACTTGCCACTACACTGCCTCTTCCCGAATATTGTATTATCGTAAAATGGGTCATAATTCAGTTTGTACCCAATGAAATAGCTGTACACGGCCTGTTAATATGAGAAAAGAAGGTGAAATGTTGTAATTTTGTCCATCTCCGAGTCACATCCCATATTTCCCAAATCCAACGACCCGAAATTCGAGATACGTGCGCATAGAGGAAATGGCAACCAGATAAGTAAGTAAGTAAAGGTAGAGAAGAATCAGTAATGCACGTACAAGGGGTGGAACAAACTCTTGTGGGTGAGACAGCTGGGTTAGACGGAAGAAAACTAGACGAGGTAAACAGAAAACAAGTAAACAGACAAACAGAAATACTAGTGAGGGGAAGGAATCACATGTGGCGCAGGCCAGCTGTCCAAACAAACATCAGCACCCTCTCGCACGGAAATGCCCACGGCCTTTGGCCAATCCATAGCGGAACGCAAACATCGAGATCTGGTCGGAATTGCTTATAAGATTTTTATTAAAATAGCCTTTGGGACCTTGGGAGGGATCGAAGGGAGAATCGGACCTTTTCACACCGACAGATCAGAAAATGTAGTACAAATACGTCTGAATATATGTTGTATAGCTCTGACCTAAAGGATAAAGTCTTGAGGCGTTAATTAATCCCGTCTGAGGGATGCGCCCACGCATTTGATATCCATTCAGAATTGAAGTGGCGTATTGAATGCGTATCTGGCCTATACAATGACTTGCACTGGCCAGCCTTTGTATAAGCCAGTGCTTCTATCCTCCCAGAATAGTCTGGTACCAATTAACCGACCCTGGAAGGATGGAGAGCTTGGTTGGCCTAGCCGGATTTCAGTCAGGTCGACCCGCGACCATGCGTGTGTGAAGTGCGCCCCTTGTCACTACACCACCTCCACCGCTATAGAACGAGTTAGTAATCATTTCTGAGCTTTTCTTTCCCTGTACTAAAGCAACTCAGAATTTCTGGTACCCATAGGGATGGAAGGCTTGGTTGGCCTATGCGATTGGCCTCTGATCTATTGGATAAGGAGTTAGCACGAAAATTTTGTCCTAGGATTGAAACTGCGAATCGCGATGAACTAACAAGTATACTTAGCTTCTTTCAGAGAGAAAAACAAAGTAATTGTGACCATAAAGCTTTGATTATATGCCTTCAGTCGCAATTACCTACTTCCAGGTTGTTGACGGTATCAAATGTCTAGTTGGAAATACTACGAAGTACGAGTTGAATGAAGCCACAGCCGTCATAAAACGTCTATGTTGCCTCCAACTTCTTTAGCCGCCGATAAAAACAGCAATGAAATGACTTTCTGGAACGACAAATACAGGTTTAAGACGAAAGACGACGACGAGCGGTCACGTCCATCTGGTAAATCCCTTCTGTAGATGTAGATTTAACGGCTCGAACCTTCTTCCTGCCACAGGGATCTGATGATGATTGAGAACTACTGCAAGAAGTGAACAAATAGATTTGCACCGGCATCTTCTCATAAGTCCATAAAATCCATGGAATTAGTGGTCTCTTCACAGAATCCATCGACACTGGTGGGGTGTTCGTATATTGCTATAAAATAAACATAATTAGAGCTGCTTCACGGATAGATCGGGGCCCTGAATATGTGAAAAGCTCAAAGGTTACCATGTCTCCTACCCCACTTTTTCACTAATCGAGCAGAAAGTAATCAGATAGAAAGATGAGATATACATATGTAAGTAAATACAAGGTTTGAAAGGTGAGAATTCTTCAGAAGACGTGCAAAAGATAAAGTCTTTAAAGTCGAACAATTTCGTTTTTTAAAAGCGCCCATGCATTCGACTTCCATTCAGAATCATAGTGGCGTATTGGATGTATATGTGGCCTATGCAATGACTTGCGGTGGGCAGCTGATGTACAAGTCAATGCGCCTATCCGCCAAGACGAATGTGGTACCAATTAACTGACCCCTGATTGAGACTTGATCGGCCTAGGCTAGAATCAGTCTGAGACTTGATCCCTGGGCCATATGAGTATTACAGTATAGTGGCTGCTTTTGCCCTCAGGCCATCTGGATTAAAGTAATGGAAGACATTTTCGTGATGACGCTTATTGCATCTTGGTCACTACGGTAATCCACAGGGTCTTGATCTGATGGATGCTTATCACTTCAGTAAGGTGAATACCGTGATGATGCCGCACACGGTAAGCTGACTTGAAAGAATGTTCCTAATGGGGTACCTTTGTAAGTTGCAAAGGTACAAATGACACAAGAGAGCTCCGATGAAACTTATTCTTATAGCTGTCATATACCAGGGGAACACGAAATATTTGCAACCCCACAAACCAGTTATTTATTTCTGATAGGCACATCCACTCTCACGATATGGAGACTTCATTCAAAAATGTAACCGCACTACTGTTTATATCCATGAAGATACGTTCATTTCAAAACCGTGCCTAAAGAAAACATAAACATTCAAAAATAGAACAATAAAGAGGTTTATACATAACAAAAACCCGAAAATCACTGAGGATGCAGGCTCGGATTAACAACAAAGCCAATAAATAACATGAAACAATGACTTGAATTAAAAGCTGCCGTATCTATTATTTGAGACAGATAACTTCTATTACGACAGATAACTTCCCGACGATCAGTGTGACGAATTTATCAGAAAAAAAACCTGATGAACATGAAATGGCAATTTTGCCTAGAAGAGAAGGGCGCGGCAGGCAAGCAGTGCGAATCATTGGTAATGATAAAAATCAATCTCATGTCCCCAATTGATGAATTTGTTAGTGTAATGAAAAAAAAAACATTGGATTACATCAACTTCTACACCCACCTCGTTCCGAAAGAGAAAAGACTGGACAGGCATAACCTGGTTCGCTTATATAAGGATGGAGCGCTTATTGAAATTATCGGTTGTCCCGCTTCGATAATATGGGCTGCTCGTAAGAATTGTCCTCCTGATTCAAGCAGTTTTTGTAAATTAAGTGCTAAACATTTGACGAAGTAACGGCTCCTGACTATGGCAGCCAGTGACTAGTTTATCAGCGTGCAAATATCGCCTTTCATACATTGCTGCATCAAATGGAAGGTAGTCAGCTCTGACCGCTTTAAGATCCATTACTACTCGTGTCATTGAGAAATCGGTTGTGAGATTTGCAGAATTGCCGTACCGCCGTACTTTGATTTGTGCAATAGAAACCCTCAACAGATATGTGCCGTAACCTATTCATCAAATGATCGGGGCAGCCACTTTGCAGTTTTTCAGTTTAAGCGCTGAATACAAATTCTAATTTACTGGAACATTCTAATTCGATGAGTTGCTATGAAAACTTGTTCCCGTCCTATTTGTTGCTGCCCTTAAAAAGTCGAAACAAAGAGCAGCGATTACAAAGACACCATATGAGGAATTTTGAACATAAATAGGTACATTGAAGAAGTAACCATCTGGAAGTCTGGGGTATTATCGGCCGTCACTTGGCACCGCTCCATCAGTTGTAAAAAGGGCAGTACTGATGATATGCATCTTTGTCTTTGCCGCCTCCAAAGGAAGTGAACGGAGCACCTCAGTCACCATTTGGCCTATAGAAATGGAAATGACTGAAACGGTATCCAACTGGCTAGAAGTGATGCGGTATCACTGACCAAAGGCAGAAAACTGATCATGAGTTTCTCGTGGAGGGCTCATGTGCGACTTCTTAGCTTCAACTTTATCTCGGACGGCCACTGATCCTGAAATTCCTCCCACTAAACAGCTTTCAAAGACATTTATCAAAAACTATGTCTACTACCGTCTTCATCAGCTACTGGAGCTTTTCGTTTCAAAGACTCTCCGGTGTTCCCTCCGCTATGCCTGATTGGAGTACAGCGTGAAAATGCGACGCAGTTCGGATGGCGGGGGCTGAAAGTGAATAACTAACATAAGGTAATTACAAACTGGAACTTGTAGATATTGTAAATTTCTCACTTCGTGAATTCGACTGCCTCCAAAAACCTCATTTGATTTGTATATGCCCACTGGTTTCTAACCCCTGGATCCGCAGCTGTCCGTTGCTTCATTTTCCTCCACGTGTCCTTCAAACTCTTCCATTGCTTTTTCAGGCTTCTTACTATAACAGTGTAAATAACGTAAACAAGGGTAGAAAGCTAGTGGTATATTGTCATACCTTGGAAATCATAGCCCATACTTTTCATAGCTGTACGGATACTTTCCCACGCTCTGGCCTTTGCCTCGGAAACCCTGTTCTCGTCGAATGTGTAGTCCCAGAGACACCGGTTTGCTTTGACAAGGGATATCAACTCCGAGCGCAACGCATAGCCGAAAGCTTTATTCTGAAAATTCATTTTTTAATTAGGCTTCTGGAGGGTTCAGAATTAAAAAAAAAACTTTATTTATTACATGAGATATTCTGTCGGCAATGTAGGCTGCAGAGAGTTCCGGGTTTCCATAGCTGTAGATGTCGTCGTCGTAGTTGAAGTCATCGAATTCTACCCAATCTGCCGACACTTCCTTTTTTTCTACAAGATTAGCCGATTTTTTCATATTTATGTTCGCTCCTTCTTCTTCTTCGTACATGTGTTTTCTAAGCAACTTCTCGTTTGCTTAGAAAACACATGTACGCGCTTTATATTAAGGATTGTATTCATAACCACCAAAAGTCAAAAGAATATAATTTCAACGTCAAAACTCTTCCTGGTACAGTTACAATTACATCAACGTAGTATTAAGTCAAATGGAGTCAGCTATCAAGTTAAATAAAACAACCTGAATTTGAATTGGATTCCATATTGCCAGGTTTGCTGGTCTCGGGATCTCCATGGAAGGACTCCATCCGCTGGAGATGACAGGGACGTCCTCTGAAAGAAAATAATCTGAGTTCAAATAAAACAATGGATTAAATATCACATTCGAGGAAAGGGACATGGCAGACTAAAAGCAGCAAGAAAACATCAATAGTCAGGAGAATTACCCGAGAGCATAGGCAGGTTCTTCATTGGGAGCCAGGAATTAGTAGGAAAGTTCGTCAACAATATTCTAAAAATCTTCTCACACAATACGAAAGCCTTCGTAGACGTTTACCTTCTTGTTTATTGGGAACCTGCCCTACAGTTACAGCTGTCAGGCGGGTGTCTCATTAACAAGCAGGGATCTTCCGTAATAAGACTTGTAGGATTGCCTTACGGGGTGAAATCTCGGGCATTTCCTCCGCACCATACATTTTGACTTCAATTTTTCGCACTTTCCATTTTGCACTGTATTTCGTATCCTGCACAATATGCCATAACAGTTTGACTAAATTATTCTCCTACCAGCATAACCATGCTTGGTGGGCGCTTTCAGAGCGAACCGCCAGCCGCAGGCGTTCTTGCGTCAAGCAGTGGCGTTCGGCGCTCGCAGCCGTGTCGGCATCCACGAATCCGCTGGCAATCTTTGTGCTGGAGCATGCTATTTCCTCACTATCACCCACCTTCTCTTCTCCAGGCTTAGACAAGAACTATATCCCGTGGCTAAGAATAATATCTAAGCATAGGTGAAGTCTCTCAAATAAAGTCCCTACACTTTCTGAGCACAAGGGCTCTTTACTACAGACTAAGGGTGCCTCTCCCTGAGTAGTTTTTGCGTAAAAGTGGTATACAAGCCAAAGAATGCAGTTAAGGAATCTATCACCGATTCCTGCGGTATCGATCGCCGCCGCCAACAGCGCTGGCGCCACGGTTGACGCAAGAGCGTCAAGCCTTGGGCTTTGCCTACGACGCTCTTCACTTGCGCTTGACGGTGTAAACTGAAAGATATCACTCCCTCATTATTATTGTCGAACTGATATTCGAAACTGTCCTTGGGGGGAATTGAAGAGCGTAGGGCATGTGATGATTCTATATAGGGAGACAACAGAAAAAACGGATGAAAAAATAAGGAATCGATACGACCCATCCTACAAGTATATTCCACTAATTTTCCAATTCTACATGAAGTATCTTCTACAGTCTTCTCAATAGCAAGCTAGAGGTAACAATGGTCCACCACTAGGACAAAAGAGAAGTGTGAATACTGAACCAAATTTCTGATAAATAATTTCAAGCACTTCCAATCTGGTGTTTCAAGTAAACACAACGAAATCTTCCAACTGAACTAGAAAACAATGGATTTACGAGTTCTTGTAGCCTTAGAAACACAGAATACGAGATTTTTAATAACCGTAAAAAAGTGGGAAAACGGTTGAAATAAATATTGCCAAGTTTGAAAAGCAATTGTTAATCAAAAGCAGCCTGCTTCAGTTCGAAATCGAAAAGGAAAAGAGGAATGAAGAGGAAAGAAAAGACATATGCGCTCCATGCTAACATTTTCGCCATTACGCTAACATCTTGAACAAGCAGCCAGCAGCCGTTCGCCCAAACGTGAAGTGTGGCGGCTGCTGCGATGGGAGATACTGCTATCGATCGCTCCTAGGCAGCGCATACAATCTGCGATCGCGCTGACGAATTGGAGAATGGAAATGGACGCATTCATAGTCCGGCGTTCTAACGCAGTCTTCTGCGTCAGAGCACAGATATATGCGTTCTGGCTCACAAATCCGCGTCCCAACGAACGAGTTTGCGTCAGAACGTACAAGTTTGCGTCAGAACAGGGATGTATGCGTCAAAACGCAGCCCGTCAAGGACACCGGCATACACTGGACCGCACATATCTGTGTCCCTGGCAGGCGTCCGACGTCCTCTTCCTAGCGCCGATACGTGCGTTCGGCGTTTTCTGCGATCTAACGCACATATCTGCGTTTTGACGCGCATGCCTGCGTCAGGACCTATGTGCTGTCAAAAAGAACCCAGTCGAGCCAATAGATACTCAGGGAATCGTAGTCAGCAAGCTGGAGTAGATGCGGAAAGATCGACAGAATCGCGGACACGCCTCAAACGTCAAGAGAACATCGATGATCGGTTCCCTACCTGTCGCCGTGTGTATTTCAAAGTCTTCGTATGTTGGTTTTCTAATTTCCCAAGTGCAGTTCAAACTTTATCAAGAACCTATGAAGGCTGAGTGAAAAGGAAATGGAAATGACTTAAGAGCGCCCAGGATTAGTCGCCATCATCCCAGTTAGCGCTTTCAAAGTAGAGCGTCAAGAGCGTCAAGCGCCTTTGATACATGAACATGAACCGTCGACGGTCTACAGTGAAATATTTTCCAATCCGGCCACCCCTATGACGAGACCCATTGGAACCTGTTTAAGCATTCGGCAATAACCTCTTTTCCACGGTTTTCCGACCACCTCGTTCTCAACCTGACGAAAGTGAAACTCATTCCGGTAAATGATTGCGATATCGTTAAATCCCCTGATAAGTCATGCATACCAAGCAGCTTTTTATAGTTTTTTATGGAAGTTCCAGAAAGAAGAATGAAGCCCAACGGCTCAAATATGGACTGAAATGGAGTTATCTCCAACGAGATCTCTTGGGGGAAGATTAGTCAACTTTTTTTGCAATGTTTTCACGAGCCCCTGGTAGAACACCAGTAACTCATCGAGGAGCTTCGAAATCAAGTACGTGTTCCATTTAGACACAGTGGAATGCAGGGTCAACCAGAATTGCCTCATACAGCTTTTCAAACCCCTTTTGTACGAGGTGTTCCGCTGCCTTTTTCTCCCTTTACAGGTAGAACGACCCCACAACCACAACTGCCACTGTCTTCTTCTTTTAGGTACTTCGTTGAATACTAATCTTTTGTAGGACCCCAATGACCACTACCTCACCGATGATATGAGTGAGCTAAGTAGGTCTAAGAACATGAGAAGGTCTATTGAAACCATGGATCGTGGTGAGCGATATGGTAGGTCCGATTGTTGGAGCTTTTACTGGAACACTCCTGTGTCTATTAAATCAAAGTCAAAGAGAGACTGACCTGCAAAAATCGGAAAATTGCAGCTTTACCGCTACTCCGAGAACGTAGGCTGTATGGACGCCGTGTTAACTGTCGAAGTCGGCCTATTCGGTGGGAAGGTTGATTAGATAGACATGTAGCAGAAGGAGGAAGGAGCCTTCCCATTGCTATCGAATAGCAATTATCGGTAGGAACTATGTTCTACCTTCTTGTCCGAATTACGATATCCAGTTCGATTTTTCTCATATGGAAACTATTCAAAGGTACAGTTCACGTTAAAAATGGCTCTTGAGATTACTCTCTAGTATGAGATATGAGCCTGTGACCCCAAAGGATAGTCCAAGGAGACACTGTCGGGTCGAAAAACATCCAGAATAGGCGTTCCGAGAATCGGCTTAGCCGACGTACGCATCCAAGGAGGACGTGTTCTCAGGCGTTATAGAAGCGTTTTAGGGCACACCATTCGCATCGGGACCCATACTGTATATGCAGGCAGCGCATTGCACCCAGCTGTATGCAATGGCGCGCGCGTTCGCACAGCTCTTCCGTGCAGCTTTTTTCATAAAATTCTCGTCCAACCTTTAGTTTCTCTTCTTTTTTGAATCCTTATATTTCTCTAGATAAGCCGACTTCCGCGTTTTCTTCTCCACTTTTTCACTACTCCAGACTTTCACTTCCATTACTTGTCTAAAACTGGATAACCCAAAATTATCGTGAACTGCGCCTGTAGTTGTATTATACTTTCAGGGATGCTCCGGTCCCTCATCCATCGCCTGGGCGATAGTACAAAGGGTTACACAGCGACTGTCAACCAAACGGCAGCATTTTTGACCACTTTGGATGAAAATAGCTGTGGTGAAGCAGCATAAAACCTAATTGGCGATAACGACGTCACTGACCCTAACCGATCCAAATGCAGGTTTCCCACCGCCCCGACGACATCGATGCAATCGAGAACGAACAACCGCCGTATAGACTTCTCGAGCCGTACCCTATAAGCGTTTTTGGCGCGCCATTCAAAAGTTGCGCGTGGGGAACCCGGGCGCAAAAATCGATAGGTCGTAACTCGGCGGCCGGAACGCTGGTGTCTAGCGCTTTTGTTTCTTCATTTACTTTCTGTTCTCTTTTATCACTGCAGTGTCTATATTATACATAGATTCAGAGAACGTAGTATGTATAGCGGAGTTGAGAACTGGGACATCGCTTAACTGTCACTTGCTTATATTCTCCCGAACGGGATGAGGATGAACTTGGTGCTTCTCTTCCCGTGTGCATTTGTATTGATCTTAACTCTTGATGGTTATGAAAATAGTTTATAATCAGTATCGATCGGCATGGTAACGTGGAAGTGTACCCGTTCAGTATCGATTGATGCCCAGAGGTGAATTCCTCGAATTCCCGCCAACTGCATCCACTGGCAATTTGATTGCTCCATTGCAGGAAGGGCTCAGTTGAATTACCTATTCAATCTCCCTACAGTCGATATGTACAGGTATCGTTGAGCGGAGGGTCGTGGCTGAGGCCGATCCGAGACGGGCGTTAGGAACGATTGTGGGTAATCGATTTGCCGCACGCGGCTGTCACGGACCACTCATTCGCCGTTATTACAGCTCTAGCGTTCTTCATACAGCTCAATCGATATACTATCATTATTTTATGCATAATTCTACTATTAGTACTTTTGTTCTTGTATTCCTTACCTACTG